GTGTTTTCCGATGGTCTTAGGCAACCCCTGTGAAAGGGTCATTTGACCCCCACATTGTTCGTGACCCACAGGTTGAGGACCGCTGAAGGGTTTCCTTTTTTCCACATCCTCGCCAACAGTTGTTATTTATTGTAGTATTATCTTACTTCCTTTTGCAGCTTATAAAATTCTTAGGTTAAGAATATTTTTGTTCTAAGGGGTTATTTTTTTGAGGTTTAGAAGGATCAAAAGTGTTAGAGTGGGTGGAATGTTACATGTTTTTATTTTTTTACTTCTTGCATGTTAGTTGAGGGAAGTAATTTTCAAGTCTATATGTGTTTCCAAAGTAATAAATGGTGAGTATATATTCAGTGGTTTTCCTTTGGCACTTGGACTGTGATTTTATAGCATCACTTTTAATTACAGAGTTTTAGAAATTATCAGTCTCAATCTAATGTTTGGCATAAACATAAAAAAAATCAAATAGCACAATAGTAATCCATAATTTATTATATTTTTAAATGTTTTTATTCTCAAAATTTTTACCTTTTATTAAAGAATGCAAACATTCCAAATCAACATCATTTTAGAAGTGAAATAATTACTTTTGGTGTAGCTATTCATTTGTTTTGGAAGTAATTTCATTGTTCTCTTTGGAGTATTTAATAATTTAAATGCAAAGCTTCTGATTTTTAGCAAAGACTATCTCCTCCATACTTGCTCTTAGCTCTTGTGCAATTTTAAAAGTGGTGGAATAATATTACGCAAAAGAGAAGAGAGGCAGCAAATTGGGAAGAAGATTCCACCATTTATGAGGCAGTAGTGTGGTATAATGTTTAATAGCATGGATCCTGAAACGAGATTGCACGATTTCAAATCCTGATTCTTTCACTTGTTGGCAAATAACTTTGAATGCGGTCCTCACCCCTTTGGGCCTCCATTTCTTCTCAGATTGTGGAGGTAATTATATGTGACTCATAGGGTTTTCATGAGGATGGAATGAGCTAATATTTAGCATAATGCTGGTGCATGGTAAGTGCTCAATAAATGCCACTTTTAATAAAATAACATTATATTAGTGGAGCAGGCATTCTCCTGCGATATTGGCACAAAGTCTGAATGACCATATGAAGGCTATAGAATGAATGCCTTTATTACACGGGAGGTTGAGAATTTTTGAGATCCTAAAATGCATTTTAAACTAGCAAGTAATCTGCAAATACTCAAACAATCATATCATAATACTCTTCAGGGTGTTACTTTGATTCTCAGGTTAGAGATGAGGAGAGGATAAAGGATAATTTCTCTTTGATATTCTCTGATGTTGTCTTGATAAAACACTCCCTTTGTGTAGAGAAGACACACTGTCTCAGGCAGGGCCACCGCTACAGTGGAACACCCTTGGTTTTAGCCCTACTCTCAGGAAATGGGAGGAATTAGTTAAGAACAGTTTGTAAATCACCATAAAGGGAGGAGTAGGGATAAAGGTTCAGAGCTATCCTGTAGCCCCTTGTTCAGATGTCTGAACCCTGCTGGTGAGCAGTGTCTCAGGGAAGCAGGAGATAGAGAACAGCTCTGTTAGCCCGAGTTGGCAACACTAGAGAAAGCTTTTTCAGTCAGCCCATTTTATCTTCTGCACAAACTGTGGCCTCTTCTGTTTTGTATCCCAACATCTACTTGAAGCATCTGGCAGATAGTTGTAGCTCAATAAAAATTTGTTGAATGAATGAAATGAAACTCCCCTTCCTCCTCTTATAGAAAAGTACACGCTCTGCTGCCTGTCACTGCTCTTTCAAGGTTGCTGTGGTGGTTTATTTTAATGTGATTCATGAGGAGAAGGGCATGTATTCCAAAACAAGGCTGTGGAGCCTATATTATCAGGAGAAAAAACTGTTAGATATTGTTTTGCTAACCTCTTATTGTTGAAGGGTGATGGTTAAAACTGACTGTAGCATTCAATAACTAAATTGGTGTTAAATGTCTCATCATAGGAACTGAGCTCTAAAGCAATGTGTAGAATAGAATAAATGAATATACATTTCTCTCATTGTAGACCAGAGAGACTGATCTTTTAACAATGCAGATATACAACTTATAGTGGTGGCCACATATTCCT